TTCTGTAATTGCTGTTGTTCACTTGTTTTAACTGATAATGGTCCCGGTCACACGGGCCAGAAAAAGCGGGTGGGAAGCGTGGCTGTTTGTGCCAGAGCACAATAACGCGCGGCCGCCCGATCACACGTCCTGTCGAGGTCCCGTGGTTAGGGGGTGAGGTGCCAATCACACAGCTATCCAGCAGCGCTGCAAAGAAGCAGCACGGAGCAAACACAGCAGCAAGCGCTAGGCGCCATGGCAAACGGGTGTTCGTTTTGCTACAGTTTGTGCGCATGCGCCGTAGGGTGCTTTTGCACATCCTGCGGAGGGAAATTCCCTTGTTTGCGAAGGGTTAGGGTTAGGGTTCCAGATGCCACGGAAATCCACTGGAAACGCGATCAGACGCCCGCCCTTGCCCCGCGGTGTCTGGAAACCAGTACCTTGTAGTTACTAGTTTTTTAGTCCGCATCCTTGCTGGGATGCCACGGGATAGCCACGGGAGCACTACGCTTCCCGGATGTTGCGGTATGATCGCGCCCGGAAAATCCGCCTATCATCCGTATCTTTAGAGTGGCAAATGCTCCGTGTGACCGGGGCCATCGTATTTATTGATTGTTTAATTTTTTGTTATGTTATTTAATCTGTTAGGCGTCTTGAGCCTGCTTGTCAGGCAAGGCGGGGTATAAATACAAACAAACAATAAATAAATAAAGGTCACTCACTGAGTTCGCACAGCAGAATGGGGGATCTGAGGTCCAAACAGATGCATCACACCGGCTTTTTTTGGAGAGGAGTTCTGCTGTGGGACGCTAGCAAGTAGCTTGGCCTGGGCGAGTTTGGTCAGTGGTTTGGGTAGTGTTAAGTTGTCTGGTGGGTACCGCCAGGCCTGGCCCCAATAAGACTTCCCTCCAGGGCCAAAACACTAGAAAGGGCCTCCCTCCCCCGTCACCTTTTGCTGACAGAAGCCAAGCAGAAGCCAAACCTGGAATGCCAGCCCAATGGTTGTGGGTCCTGGTCAACAACCGCAGAAGGCGTCTGTTTATTAAAGCAGCAGGGGCTCCTTTTATCCTTTGGGCTTTTTTAAAAAAATCCACCCAATGTATTATTGTCTCCCCTTTGTTAAAGGTTTCAGATTTTTCTGCAAACTTGAGGCATCTTTCAGGTTTATGGAAAGATCCAGTGTCTATTCAGTGCTCCAATCTCTGGATTTAAATAACCTCAGATGGAGCCACACCTCTCTATTAGAATATACAAGTGGGGACCCACAAGGACTTGTGGGGGGGAATCTGATTTCTCCCTCCTCCACTATTTCTGCTTTCCCTTTCCTGAAACCCCCCCAGCCTCTCTCCTTCCCCCCTTCCTTTCTCTCCTTCCCACCTAACAGCCAAACTACCTTTACCTGCTCTCTCCCCACACTGTCTTTAGGTTTTTCTCCCCCCCACCCCAGCAGCCTCTGCCTAGGAAAACTATGGCCCAGTTGTTTGGTGCCAGCCACTGGGCCAGGCTCACTCGCATAGGAGGAGAGAACCCTCAAGGACTGGGGAGGGGGGAACCTCACATTTATATGTATCCCCCTCACGGAACTCTTTCGTAGAATCATAGAATGTCAGAGTTGGAAGGGACCTTGCAGGTCATCTAGTCCAACCCCCGGCACTCTGCAGGAGCACAGCCGAAAGACGGCCCTACAACATACCCGAAAGATGGTCATCCAGCCTCCGCTTGAAAACGTCCAGCGAAGGAGCCTCCACCACCTCCCGAGGCAGTCTGTTCCACTGCTCAACCACCCTTCCAGTTAGGAAGTTTCTCCTGATATTTAGCTGGTAACGACTCCCTTGTCATTTCCACCCATTAGATCTAGTCTTGCAATCCGGAGCAAGAGAGAACAGATCTGCTCCATCTTCTACATGACGGCCCTTCAAATACTTGAAGACTGCAATCATGTCCCCTCTAAGCCTTCTCTCTCCCAGGCTAAACAGAACCAACTCTTTCAGCCTTTCCTCGTAAGACTTGGATTCCAACCCTCTCACCATCCTGGTTGCCCTCTTCTGGACAAGCTCCAGCTTGTGGACATCCTCTTGCCCTCCCCCTGGCAACCCCCCCCCCTATCCTCTCCCTTTCCCCTGCCTCACTCTCTCCTTCTCAGGCATTCGCCTACCTACCTTTTATCTGCCTCCCATCTTCAACTATATTTTTAATTTACTCCATTTGTAGCCCAGATTTCTCCAGTGGGGGGCCAAAGGAGCTTCCGTTATCCACCTCTCCTCCTTTTGGTCCTCACAACATCCCTGTGCGGTAGGTCAGTCTGGAAGTAGGTGACGGGCCTAAAATCACCCAGTGAACTTTCAGAGCCAGGTGGGGATTTGAACCCCAGCTTCCATTGCATCAGATTGCATAAAAGAAATGTTCCAATGTGGAAGCAAACCACGAGAAGGCCTGGAAGGATAAACCGGCGACTGGGTTGAGCAAACTGTTGTCTTATGGTCTTTGACAACCTTGCAGTCATTTAGACCAATGTCCTGTATAACCAGGAAGCACTTCCTGAGAGTACAGGAAATGGGTTGGTCAGAGTTGGGTTGCATTAGTGACTTGAGAGCAGTCAGCGCTCACACAGGCCTCTAACTGCACCAGGCGAAGCGGAGAGAGGAATTGTGGGTCCTTGGTCACGACCCAGGGTGTGGTGGCCTGGATAATGTGTGAATTGGACCCAGGTCAATTCGATACATGCAGGGTGGGGCGGGGGACTGGCCATCAGTAAGAGTGCAGGTTGCCAATGTCCAGCTGGGGCCTGGAGATCTCCTGGAATTACAACTGGTCCCCAGACTACAGAGATCAGCTGTCCTGGACAATTTTTTTTTTTAATGGCTGATTTGGAAGTCTATAGCGTGATAGTCTGGCTAAGCCCCTCCCCAAACCCCGCCCTCCACAGGGTCCACCCTCCCAATCTTCAGAAAGGGCACCCTCCAGCCAAACCACTGGTGTTTTCTGCAGCTCAAATGTCTGTAAATTTGTTAACCATTTAAAAACGCAACATGCTTTGGAATAAGGTCAGTTAACAGTGAATTCTGGCACTTCTCTCGGAACGTCGGTTTATCGTGTTCAAAAATATTTAATCCCATCAGTCTTATAAAAAGAGACAAATAAGAACGGGAACAGATTGCCGGATACATTTTTTGGCACTTTTTTTTGTGGGTTTCCCCCCTCCCCTCCCCTCCCCTCCCCTCCCCTTCTCTCTCTCGTTTCTTCTTGGTACCATTACAAATTACAAATACACATTCTATTTCTTTCCGGATTTTTTTTTTAAAAAGAAAAATAAATAAATAAATCTAAACGCCCGACTTTGACAACCGCAAAAATGCACTGGCCTGCTTCTAAAACTAAAAACCGACATTAAAAAACAAACAAACCAAAAAAACATTTCCATGGTTACAGTTTCACCATTTTACAAAGACAGGAATAGCTGCTGACAGGGACACCGGCTGTTCAGACACACACACACCCCTCCGCTTCAGCCATTTGTCTGTTCACAGGAATGGTTTGATCGGGACACAGGGTGGGTGGGGGAAAGGAGGGATACTCAATACAGCAGACGGAGTCTTGGGTCCGGAGGAAACGGGCCATTTCCACCAGTTCCCCCTCCCCCCATGCCATCCCTCAGGATCCCCTCCCCCCCCCGGGAGTGGACACGGCGTGGAGATCCGTGGGCTGCGGTGAGAGGGGGGAGCCAAAGAGAAGTCCAGTTTTGCTGATGGAAAATTTAACCTGGATCCAATCCGGTATTCTTTTGGTGCAGTGGTGTTTTTCTGGGAGGACAGTGAGTTTGTGCTCCCTCTTTAGATGCGCGATGCCCTGCAAGCGGAGACTGCCCCGGCTGCAGGCTGTCCATAGAGGAGGCTGGGGGGGGGTTGTGTTTTGCTCTGTGCACATGAGAGCGGGGGGGGGGGGGGGGGCGGAGGCGTCGTGTTGATGTTCCAAGAGCTCCCTCTTTTCTGGGGCCTGACTTGTCAAGAGATAGGGCCCCGGGAGACGTTCTCCTGCACAAATGCCACCACTCTGAGTGTCAGCTGGGCACGAGGTCAGTGTGGGTGCTGAGATGATCCCGTGCCCACTTCTGGTTGTGTTCCGATATTCTCTTTAGGTGACAAGGAAGTGAGCGAAGAAGAGCCGTAGGTCCTCACACACAGAGGCTCCGTCGCATGCCTCTTCCGGTGCCCGAGAGCTGCCCCTGCCTTCCCTCACCCTCAGCCCCAAAGCCACGGGCGCCTGGGTGCATCAGTCCATGTCCTGTCCTTGTGGTCCTGATCCGTATGTGGGCAGGAGCCCGAGTCCGGCAGTGGCGGGGGGGCAGGTGTGGGGGGTTAATGAAGAAGACCAGCGGGGAGTAAAAACTGACTGCAGTCACTGGATGGTTCCTCTCGCCCAGGGCATTCCTCTCTGCACTTCCTGACCCACCGGGCCGGGCCCCGGAGCTGACTGTTCTGCTTGACATCCACAAGTCGCAAAAAAACAGGAGAAGGAGGCTCCCGGCCACTCCCTTGTCTTGACCGCTGCTTTTCTCCTCAGCCACACTGACTTCTAATTTGACACGAATGCTGGTGACTTACCCGGCGGGCACCACGGCCAAGTTCCAAGAGGGGCCCCTGTGGCACCAAGGACTCTGACCGGCAGGAGCTCTCGATTGGTCGGCAGCGGCTGTGCCAAGGGGCCATCAGGCTTCCAGAGCCACCTTTCTCCCTCAGCCACACTGAAAAGAACCGGTTCCTTTTAATGCAGCCATGCTGGAATGGGCAGCACCGAGTGGACTCCAGCGTCCCCTTCAGCAAGCTGCAGAGTTGGGCAGAACTGCTGTTGGCGCCCACAGGGGATGCTTTTGGGATGCAGTTGGAGTTGCGTTCACAAGGCAGAGGAAGATGGACTGGAAGGGGAAGGGGAAGGGTCAGGAGGCCCAGGCTGCCAGCTAAGCTCCACTGAAGTCCCGGGAGAGGAAAGCACAACTGTCTCTGGAAAGTCCCCAGTGGCCGGCTTTAGATGGACACTTCGTATTCTCGCGTTTCCTGGGGAGAAAGAAAAGCTCCGTCAAGCCCAAACTCTCCCTAGAAGCTAAAACGACCAAACTTGAGGCTCTTGTCCTCTGGTCCCAGGATGAGGAGACAAGAAGACGTTCGGCTTTTCAGCATTCTCCTTCGCCTTGCCTGTGTGTCTCTGTTGCTTCGAGCTTTTTTCCTGTTCTGCACATGTTTTTAGCTCCCTCTAGTGATCGATTAAATATCATACCGCTTTATGTCCACTCTGTCTCCCTGCAGATTTAAACTGCATGTTTTACGCAGGACATAAAATGGTGTAATATGGGAGCAAACACTAGAGGGAGCAAAACACATGCAGGACACACACACACACACACACACACACACCCGCAGCAGGAACACACAGGCGAAGAAAATTAGAAAGCCAAAAAGCCGTTACCAGAAAAGGCAACAGTGCTAGGAAAAGCTGAAGGCAGCCAGAAAAGAGAAAGGAAGCCACAAAAGCCCTCAGTTTGCAAGGCCTGAGCAAGGCTGTTAACAGTAGGGTGTTTGGGAGGTCATTGATTCATTCATTTGGACACAACCTGAAAGCACTTCTCTCTCTCTCTCTCTCTCTCTCTCTCTCTCTCTCTCTCTCTCTCTCACTGTGTGGATCGTGTCTGTGATGTCCAGAGAGATCTCTGCACAGTGAGAACAAGTATTTGCTGAGGTAGATCCAACCAGCTTCTCTGCTGGTGAAAATGGGAGGAAGGGTCTGCTTTAACCGGGCATGTAGCCACGGGGGGCATTTGGGGGCAATGCCTCCCATAGATGAGCACTGCCCCAGCGGACAGAAAGGTAAAAAAAATGAAAACGTCAAAAAATTCAAAGATATTTTTAAAACGTAAGAGGCCACATGGGGTTTGCGAAGTGACTAACCTGGGCACGGTAAGGGAAGCTTCAGTCTCGTTTTCTTTTTTTCCAGGCCAGGAAAAAAAGTTTTTTTTAAAAAAATTTACAAACCTGTCCCCTGAAGCCACCAGAACAGCCTGTGCCAGCGGTGTAAAGTTAGATCTACGGACTGACCGCTAGGACGGTATCCTGAAGGTTGGCCGCCATCTTTTAAAATCTTCTAAAATCTCTTTATTTATCAGTATCATCAGTGTTAGCACCTTTTAATGTTAGAATGTTTTATATGGTTTTGGGACTATTTAAACTGCCTTTTGTGTGTTTTATTCTTTCTGTAAGCCGCCCCGGGCCGGCTCTGGCTGGGAGGGCGGGGTGCAAATCTGATAATAAATAAAAATAAAATATCAAAATGTGAAAGAGAGAGAGAGTCGAAGATCTCCCCCCCCCCCCCCCACAGTTTAAAACAATTAAAACATTCGTAACATTTAAAGTGCTCGCAGTATTAATAATTCATTAAATTAGACGGCGCGCTCTAAATCTACCGTCCAGGTTCCCGATTCAGCGATCTCCCAGTCTCCTATGTAGGTATAGCTCTGACTCTGCATTAGGGCCAGCCTTATACTACAGGTGTTCGAGTAGTATCGTTGGTGGTAATGGTGGGCGGCTCCCTACTTGAAGGCCTGGTGGAAGAGCTCTGTCTTGCAGGCCCTGCAGAACTGCAAAAGGTCCCGCAGGGCCCTGATCTCTTCCAGGAGTTCATTCCACCAGTGTGGAGCCGCCACTGAAAAGGCCCTGGCCCTCGTCACAGCCAGCCTGGCTTCTCTAGGACCCAGGAGGGTCAGACCATTTTGGGACCCCGATCATAGTGCTCTCTGGGGAACATGTGGGGAAAGGTGGTCCCTCAGGTAGGCAGCCCCCCAACCATGTAGGGCTTTAAAGGTAAGTACCAGCACCTTGAAGTGAATTTGGTATGCTATTGGCAGCCAGTGCAGTGACCTAAGCACAGGCTGGATGTGCTCCCAACGCAGAGGAAGACTGGAGGTCGCAGTGGAGCTGGAGCTGCAGCTGGGCCCCCCCCCCCAGATTTCCCCACGACCCACCAACCACAATTTTCTGGCTACGCCCCTGGCTTTGAGCATCCTAGAAGGTGATGCTGGGGATCATGGGACCTGCGTGGACAAAAGCCACGCAAGACGGGGGCCGTAGCGATGAGGGGGCTTTGCGAGGCTGAGTAAAAAAGCAGGCTGGATCTGTCGTGCTACAGTCAGTGGAAACTCTCTGTACTAGGCTTCCCCCGTACAGTCACCTCGTCCGGAGTCTGACTGCAGGATTCCAAAGGAAAGTGACCATCCGCCGGGCCATCTCCCCCAGTTGACTCTCCGCCCAGCCCCCTGCCAATGCCCCCCCCCCGCAGTGGCGAGCTCTCTCCCCCCTCCCCCCGCATCTCTGCCTGCTGGCAAAACCAGCCTGCACCTAAGGGGACTATTTCTTTTAGTCAGCGAATCTCCTTGACTAGTAAAGGTAAAGATTTCCCTTGCTCAAAAGCCAGTCGAATCCGACTCTAGGGATGCAGTGCTCGTCTCCGTTTCCAAGCCAAAGAGCCAGCGTTGTCTGAAGATATTTCCGTGCTCAGGTGGCCAGCATGACCTAGACTCTGAGGCACACAGAATGCTGTTCCCTTCCCACCGAAACGGTACCTATTTATCTACTTGCAATTTCTTGCTTTCGAACTGCTAGGTTGGCAGGAGCTGGGGCTGGAGATGGGAGCTCACTCTGTCATGCGGCACTCGGGTCTCGAACTGCCGAACTACCGACCTTCCGATCTGCAGTTCAGCGTCTTAAACACTTGATTATTCAGGTTTAAAAACCTTTCGGTCAAACAAATGTTCTCCTGATTTATGGGGCAGCTGATTCCTCTGTTTGGAAAAAAACCCCAACTTTTAAAATTTAAGCGCTTCCAAAACCAGATTCAGGCCAACTCAGAGAATTCCCAGGCTTCCACAGCTGCAGCCCACAGTTCTCTTTAATAACGTCATCTAAAGTGTCCCGTGTTCTTTTATTTATATTGTAAGCTGCCCTGAGTGCCACTAGGGAGCGACAGTTAATAAATGTTTAAAATCAATAAAATAAAATAAATAAATTTTAAGCATTATACACCTTCCATCAAAGATCAAAGCCACTTTAAATTAATAAGATATTTTTAAAATTAAAACTAGTAAAAAAGGGCCAGAGCCCAGCAGCACCTTAAAGACGAACAAAGGCCCCCCGGTCACACGGCAAAGTTGCCGCGGGAGAGGCACGGAGGGTGGGCGGATTATCCGGGCGTGATCACACCCCAACGTCTGGGAAGTGGAGCGCACCCGTGGCTTACCACCGACAATGCGTGTCAAAAAAGTAGTACCTCCAAGGTACTAGTAAACGTTTGCGGGCTGCCTCCAGACTCCCATGGTGTGATCGCGCCGGCGAGCAGCATTCCCCTCCGGTCCCTTGTTTACCCGCCGGCACCGAGGGAAGGACCCGTGGTGTGCCATCAGCACATCTGATCACATAATCGCGGATCAAACTGCGCCGGGACAATTAGCCACACCTCCCCCCTGCGATATCCGCCCCGTGTGACCGGGGCCAAAATTTCTGGCAGGGCAGGAGCTCTCGTGAGTCACAAAGGGAGCCGTGACTCATGAAAGCTCCTCCCCGATCATAGATTTTTTTCTTGAAGGTGCTCCTGGACTCTTGTTCTTTTCTCTTGCTACCGACAGACTAACACGGCGACCCATCTGGATCTAAAATTAAAACTAGTTAAGTAAAGGTCAAGGTTTCCCTTGCTCGAAAGCCAGTCAAATCTGACTCTAGGGGTGCGGTGCTCATCCCCGTTTCCAAGCCGAAGAGCCAGCGCTGTCTGAAGATGTTTCCGTGGTCATGTGGCCGGCATGATTAAACACCAAGGCGCACGGAACGCTGTTACCTTCCCACCGAAGTGGTACCTATTTATCTACTTGCAATTTCTTGCTTTCGAACGGCTAGGTTGGCAGGAGCTGGAACCAGAGACGGGAGCTCACTCCGTCATGCGGCACCCGACCTTCCACAGCCTGCAGTTCAGCGTCTTAACCACTTGAGCCACCGCAGCCCCTAAGAACTAGTTACAGATCTTCAATAATAGAGTCAAAAAGTGCTCCCTGGTTTCTTTCAAGTCCACTATCCCTGCAGATAGATTCAAAGCCTGCGATGGCCTGTCCCATTCCTAGATACGGTGATTGCCGCAAAACCCCCCCCCCCGTCTGTTACAGAATGTTGACCAGCAGCAGAGCCGTTGCTGCACGGGAGTGGGTATGAGGCAGGTGGGAGGAGAAAGCCCTCGGGAGACCCAAAGGGGCGGGGGGGGGGCTATTGCTGTTGAAGGTGAGGGGGCCAAGACGGCTGAAGTCCACAGGCCTAGAATGACCCAATGGAGAGCCAAGGGCAGTGCAGTGAACATTCAAATACTGGACCGGCTGGATCTTTTTCCTGAGCCTCTCTCCTGAGCACGCCTCTGTTGGTGATCCGGGGCCCCTCTTCTTCCTTTGGACCCTCTGGTGTCCGCACCTTGGCAGAAAGTGCCCAGACGTTGCCCTGGCAGCACACGGGCGAGCGGGTAGTGCAGAAGCATTCGACTGGCGCGGGTGGCCTTGGTGGGGCCTTGCACGGGCCTGGGGGGAGTCAGCAGCAGGAGCTGCATTGGGGGGAGGGGGGGAGGCCTGCGCCACAGCTGGGAATCCTCGGGGCCGAGAGGCGACTCACCCCTGTCTCGTAGATGGGGTTGTCGAATTCCGTCTCCACTGTGATCTGGCTGTACGGATGAGAGTACATGAGAGGCAGGCGCAGGCTGGACGAGTAGCGACACCTGCAGGCAGACAGACAGACAGATGAGAAAGAAGTCAGGCCAGCCGGACCTGTACTGGGAGCTGCACAGGGAAGCCCCTGCAGGGACCGAGCAGCGGTGTGCTCCCGCCAGGAAAGGATCCGTTTGGCTGCACCAAATACGGGGAAGGATTCTGACCACATCTGCCCCAGGGCTGCGGCAGACTCAGATCATCTCCCCCCCCCCCCCCCCCCCGGGC